TTTATCTGTTCTTTGATAACCAGTATATCTTAGGCAAATGCTTATTTTGGACATGTACAACATGGTTTTTTAATATTGTGGTTTCATATGCCTTATTTAGGCCTGGAATAAGGGAGAAGGAGCTTGCATGTTTGTTATTGTACGTATAATTTTTGTATAATTTGCATAATTTTGTTTCATTCTAAACCATATTTTCTGGACTTTGGCATCCTTACAGAAGTCAATAAGCACAAGGGGATGGAACAGTTTCCGAATATTCACATCCACACTATGTTGATATACATCTGAACTAGATTGTAATATTATCAATGAAGAGCTCATGTCATCACAAAACAGATGTGTAAAATATACTGTGAATCAATTTGCATAAAGGAAAATTGTCCTCTATATTTGTACAAACAGCCACACCAAAGCTACCAAGAATTCCTCAAGCTACCAAACAAGGCTCTAAGTAGTCCCTGATTCCTTCTGAGTTATCTTTTGTAGCCTGGATTAAACTACAGATGTGATGTTATGAAGAAGGAACAGCTTCAGAAACATTTACTTATACATACAGACCCACTGACTTCAACTCCTTCACTTTTTAACTTCAGCCATAGATCAAAATGTTCCCTTAGGCTGGGTCTTCATCATGGAATTAACAACATGTGAACACAAAAGACTTTCAAATTCACATAACAATAGTAGTTCTGTCCTCATGGTTGTGGAAGGATATTCTCTGTTTAAAAGCCTTGCTATGCAGGTTTTTTACCATGGTTTGTTTGTTCATGTAGCCTTATAGATTAGTAAATTAATAATATGTTCCATTTAGAAGCACGATTGATTATTGTTGACTCTTGTTCTCTGCCCTGTGTTCTACATACCTGTAAATCATAAAAAACTTATTTTGACTAATGAGCAGCCCTCTAAAAACTACAGTATTGTTGGATTATCCTCAGTATAAATAATGAAGACTTAGACTCTAAGAGATTCATATCATATCAAGTCTTCACCTTCATCTGTCCTAGACTATTATTGTATTCTGAAAAAAATATAGAATAAAACTACAGTGAACAGAGGTACATAATCATACATAAGGTATAGCTTTATTTTTGTGTTTTAGTCTCCTAAGGACTTATCCCTCAAGTATTCCTGAACTGAGTACAGACTCTGTTGTGGGGTTTGGGTTTTGGGAAGTTGTTTATTTGTTTTAAAATTATTTTCCTTGCTTGCCATTTAAAAAAAAAATCTGTTGGGAGAATCCAGGTGCTAATCAAGATTTTATGAAATTGTTTTCATGGAATAATTTCAATGGATGTTATATGATAACTGCCACTCTAATATTAGCATTAGCAGCAGGAAAAATTGACAGAAATCACTGGCCCTAGTCCAAGACGAACCTGTTTCCTACCCGAACAAGCAGAATTGTAATATTTTTTTTCTCCCTTAACATTAATGTACGATTGTAGCAGTAAGCACTAAAAAAATAAAAGGAACCCTGTTTTTAAGATCAAGTCAGAACAAGTATGAATGGTTTCAAGTAGTAACTTCCTGCTTACAGAAGAACAAAGTTAGCAAAACATTATTTCCTAAGTTTCATACAGTAGTCTCTCTACCTTTGGAGAGACAAAGTAACACATTTCAATGGAAATGTTTTTCTGGACCTAGGGCTCTATCTCAGAAAAGAAGGACAATAAGACACCTTTGCACTTCTCTAGTCCTGATGCAGGGCTAACGCTGGTCTTCTTTGCACATAGTATTTTTAAATTTTTTTCGCAAACTTCAGTGACCTTTCTGGTGTACATCAACTGTGAGTTGCAAACACACAAATTCATTTCCTTTCCCTGGTCACATAACTAAGTCTCACAAGGGGATTGCTATAGAAAATATTTAGATATTTAGAGCACTATGTAGCCACAATATTTCACCTTATTTGTCAGGTTTCAATATGTAAGAAATTTTCATGAAACATAAGATATATTTATATAGGTAGAATTTTATGGAAGTACTTTAAAATCAAAGACTGCTTATATAAAGGTCTGTGATGACACCTGAGAAGCACAGATGATGTACTTTAGATAGTTATGCTTTTCTGAATTAGAGGAAAACTTGTGGCTGGTAAAGACAAGAAGCTTGATATTTTATAGTTATTTTTGAAAACCCAAAAGAAGAATGCATTCTTAATCTCTTTCATTTCACAGAGAACATGAATTGGAAAAGCGTTTTTGTTTATGGATACATCTTCTTTACAAATTATTTTCGCTGAAACACTGGAATCATTCTTCCATATATGAGAATATACCTTCAAGATTTGATGTGATACTCACTTTTCTCTGAAAATTAATGGATAGCTGAGGGACTGGGAAACCCTGGAGAATTTACAGGATACAGATTAGATTTACCTTCTTTCTGAGTCATCTGTTGGAAACTTGGTGCACAGTCACCAGTGTAGGCTTTTTCCTGTGAACCAGCACCCGCCTCTGCATCCTGTCTATCAGTGCACTGACTGCCATGTTAACCGTGTGTTTCAGATTTATACATGAAATTTGCATCAGTCCTGGTCATTGGTATCCTCTGGTGCTGGATAAGTGGGAAGCCAGCATAAGCTTGCTTTGCAAGATTCTCTGCTTAGCAGGAAATATCTCACACTGTCTGCTAGTTCCTGGCCTTGTTTCACTTTTCTTGTAATCACTGGTACTGCCACACACTGCTTCCCCCCATGCTGCTAGTCTGAAAACTTCTGATAGCAGACAAGAGAAATTAACATTTCCAAAATAAAATCCATAGAAAAAGCAAATTACCACTTACAATCTCTCCAGTGCAAGTGTTTCAGCTTTGTTTTTGCAGAGTAGGCTTTCTGCGTACTTTGTCTTTGCTATTAGATGTAAAATAGTCTACAATAAAATTTTCTGTCAGCATACCTACGCTGGCTGGGTCCATGAAACAAAAATCCTAGATGTTTGTTCATTGATAAACACAATTAATACTGCTTTGTTAGAGAAATTATTTTTTGAGGCACATAAATTATATTTTTTGACCTTTTCCTAAGAAACATTTATCCTATGCCAACTATTACTCTATCACCTTCCTGAACAATTCTCAGGAATATGGACAATTCTCTGCCAATTAGCCTCTTCCCAGGGGTATTCCCAAGCCTGCTTAATAGAACAGCTATAGCAAAAATAAAAATAAAAATAAAAATAAAAATAAAAATAAAAATAAAAATAAAAATAAAAATAAAAATAAAAATAAAAATAAAAATAAAAATATATTCTTCCTGATTTAACTTTCATTTATTTTGGTTTGTCTTCTGTTGGCATAGATCATGCAATCATTTGGCTTCTGCCAAAACGGCCAAAATAGCTAACATGGCAACAAACCCTTTCTAGAACTATGAAAAATCCGAATAAGAAACTCTTTACAATATTGCAGCAACATTTGCAGACATCCACTTTTATGTTTGAAGACATCATCCTTTCTTTGTGTGACAGCAGGGAAGTGCTTTTTGAACTGACAGTTAAAACCACCAGTAGCTATTGAGCAGGAATTAGAACAACAAATAAGAGTTTGCATTAATTGAGTTGTTTGTTTATAAGACCATGCCTTAAGAGCACAATAAGCACTGTGGAACATCTGGTCTTTCTAGGAGATTTGGCAATACTTACACCTTAAGAGTGCTTAGACAAAATAATTTTTTACTAGCAGTATTGTCTTTCTTTCTTATACCTGTTTATGTATTGAGTCAGACAGACCAATTATTAATTCCTTCTTTATTCCCTTTGGAAGTTTTCTTTCCTTGCTTGCAAAGTCTTTGTGAACATGTGGAAAATAATACATAACTAAGTGAAAAATTTACTTATGCTAAGGAGGCCAGAGCTTTAACCTCTCTATTTGGATGTCATAAACCTGATTTCTTTGTTAAAATGTTATCAGAATCTATTGAAATTACTGAAAATGGACAAAATAACATTTTTTCTCTAAATCAGTGTCTGCTGTGAGAGATGAGATTTTCCATTTTTAATTTCAGCCTTTGATTTTGTGAAAAGAGAGAAACAGAAAAATAATTTTACAATATGCAGTTGCATGTCAGAACTCCATTTTAACGGTAAGTTGAAGTGATGTCAAATGATAGTGTCAAATGTCTATTGCATGCAAATGAAGAAACCAAAGCAATTATTAATGGATGACAATTTGACCCTAAATTCTATACTGAAACCCAAGAGATTTCATAAGTTTTTATAAGCATGTGGAGATCTTCTAGTTCTTTTAAAAAGTATTTTAATTCAAAGTATGATATAGAGATTCTGCAGCTAAAATACAGCCTAACTCCTTGTTACTTTCCTCCCTTCCGCGTGTTCCACATGCAAATTTTTTTTGTTTCCTGCTGTGAAACAATCTGTTAAACTACATACAGAGTTCTTGTTCCAGCTAATCTAAATTCATCTTATTTATTCTGGATATGGAACAATTTAGAATGGAATATTTCCTTTAATCATAATAAATTTTAATACCACTTTCTTTCAGTCCAGTAGAGAGAAAAACATGTGTGATCAGAAGACATCTTTTCTTTACTGTTCTTGCTTCACTGCAAAGCTAATCTTGTGGGGAGAAAGAAAAGACACTACAAGTACTATATAACATTAAAATACATGAAAACAGTAGAATGTATGAAACAATGCATTAGGAACTGCAGTGAATATATATTTGGAAATAAATACAGTGGAACAAAATACATTATTGCAAGTACTGAGGGCGTCCAGTCTAGATCAAGATCTTAGACAATAATGATATATAAAGAAAAGAAAGTTCTTCATTCCTTAAGTGGGTATGCTTCCTATGCATTCAAATTTTTATTTCACTTGTAAAGGTTTCTGATGTGTTTCCAGATAAAAAAAATAAGACACTAAAGAAATTTGGGTTAAATCTGAAGTTCAAATAATTGGATCTCATTAGCAAGAAAAATATTAGACTTTCAGTTATCTCAGAAATACAAAAACAATCACTTCAAATACATACAGATGCATAAATATTTTACCCTTTTCTTTTTGGGGAAAGAAGGTAAGGTTAGTTTGAGAGTAGTCACACAAATTTAGACATTTTTTATTATTTATGAGACAGAAGTTATTTTTGAAACAGTCTTTTATCTCATTATAAGCAATTATAACAACTCACCCCATAAGGCAAGATGGACTTCTTCCTGACATGGAATTTTACACACTGACAAAAATAGACACATTTTCACTGTCCATGCTCAACATTTTATAGCCATTTCTATGTACTTGAGTCTGTAAAAGAAAAAGGAGAACTATTTGCTGACTCAGTTCTAATCAAGTCTATTAGCTGACATCTTATCACTATAAAACGTTATCCAAAGTAATCATTTACTTTGCTGAATGTTCAAATAAAATTTTACTGAGTCTACAGAACTACTTTTCTCTTCTTTGGGAGGAAGAAATATAGAACATGCTGACATTTTAAGAAAAAATTAAAATCTTTTAACCCTTTTATCCCAGAATTTTACAGCCATAGGCTGCAGTGAGGGAAGAAGCAGTGAGAGATAACTTTTGTAAAGTTGCATTCTCTTCTTTGCTATGGAATGAGAACTGAAAGTTAAATTTATCTAAGTTAACTAAGTTGACCTCTCCAGTTTTTTGTCTGGGGTTCTCTTCCATGCATAAAGAGAATTGTGTACTTCAGCCAAAACACATTCAGGGTAAACTGCTTTCAAGCAAACACCTTTGACTCTTCTGGCCATCCAGTAGCAAAGCCCCCACAGAAGTCATACTGTCAAAATACTGAATGTGCAATATCTACACAAACCTTACAGACCTTGGAATGTTATGCAGTTTATAACCGACTAAATTAACAGTAATTGATAAACTGTGTGGATTTGTGATTCAGAAGGATATGCAGGGTGGTAAACAATGACAAAAAGATGGAGTAGATAATCCTGATGAACGTATCTCAAAACTTTTTTTAATCCTTTTCTATCTTTATTTGGCTTTTTTTTTTCCCTATGGTATTTTTACCCCATGTGACAAATTATTTTGAGTTTTTATTTTGATGTTATCCTATTTATAAACTTTTATTTACAAATTCAAATATACAAGCTAAAAAATTATTCTGTTAAGACTCTCTGTACGTATACCACTCTCTTCTCTTTCATATATACAATTATCAGTAATATGTGGCAAGCTCTTCTTCCACGGTGGAAGAATCTTGAAGAGTTAAACAAGACAATTTCTACTTATAGATTTAAAAAAAAGGACAGCATCTATGTTATTTATATATATTATCTCATAAGATTTGGAAGACTGAGCAGAATGCCTGGAACCCTTATACAGATATAATAGCTGAATATTCAACAGGGGGCCTACAAAATCTAATATTCTGGGTAAAAAGTCAGTAAAAATTAGCCTGACAGCAATTATGTTTGAGAAAAATATGCCCTAATGTCCACTTTTCTCAGTCATCTTACTCTGTATTGGATATGGATTTCCAGAGAACCACATCCTTGACATTTATTTTGGAGTTTTACATGTAGGTCAGCTGTCTCTCCATGTCCCATCTGGAGACAGTGAGTAATAGTGATCTCTGTAGACTTCTTTTTATTTTAGGACTTACTGGTGAGATCTTGTGCTCATTTACTTTCAAAGACTATTGCACAATGAAGGGGGATGAATTGGTCACCTTCTGAAGTCTTTGAGGAACAGCTGCAAACAGAATGACACAGGAAAAGACCATTAGACAGTGTTGGGGAAAACCACTGTCTTTAGACATTAATATCCCACGGACAAACAGCAGATTCAATGGTCTGACAATTAGCATGGATGGGTAAAAGTAGGCAGGGCATCTATTACAAACTCCTTATATGTGTGAGTCTTAAGTAAGTGATAGTATTCATTCACCTATACCCATCCCTCCCTTACCACACCTTGGAAAAAATATAGCATCATGTAAATCTTTACACCATTTGTAGCAGCTCATAATTTCTCACATATAACGGTATTTCTGCCTGCTATGTATACATCTGAACCAGGAAATATAGGAAAAATATTTTAGTAGTTATGGCAACTACTGTTAGAAAGCAAGGGTTGGATAACGTGCATGTGTTGTATCATAACAGATTTCAATGGATACCTAATCCTACACAAATTGCATTGCTGTTTAGCTGAGTAACAATTTAATGTTTTGCTTTCATTTCTTTAAATTGAGATGATATGTGATATAATTTTGTTTACTGAAAAGGAATCTTCAGATTTAGTGCAGAGTCACAAGAAAATACTGCTGCCATATAAATATAGTTAGTTCACTGGAGCATTGGAATTACCGTTTTAAGACATTGGTGGAAAAAATTCTTTGGTTCTATAAATTGTCAACATTAATATTTAAGAAATGTAGACATCAACTCATCAGAATCATAAAATCCTTGATTAAGAGGTCAGATCATCAAGCCAAACCACTCAGAAGGAAGGTTAAATATAACTGAATGTTATACTCGACTGTATTGAATCTGTCGTTTAAAATAATCCAGGAAATAAATTCTTCTTAATAATATTTTTATATCTATTAATAAGAGTAAGTTGAGCAGAAATTAAAATCTTTAATAGTCACTGGATTCCACAGCACATGGAGAACCCTGATTAACCCAGAGAGTCTGATCTATGCAGTTTTCTGTTATTAGCATATTCTGTCAGAAAGGACATTAAAAGTTCTAATTTCCTGTATTTCATCAAAGGAGGATAGAAGAAAAAAAAGTTAGGAATATTTACATTTATTTCTAAGTCTCTAATACTCTTACTGCTCTATGATAAAGTCACATTAGACAGGATTAATCTGAGCAGCTGTAGATTTATCCTAAAACTGATGTCTAACATAGGTCAGATGAATCATATCACTAAGTGATTAACTGTCTGCTGTAAAAAGGAAGCTTAGGATAACTACCTCATATGTGGAAAGCTACATTGTAAATTTTGAAAGTTAAGTAAAAGTAATCCTGTCTTGTGGCTTCAAAATACAGGACTCAAGAACTCAATTACTGGTTTCATAATTAGATTAAAAAGATAAGTGATTGTGCAGCCAATGTGAGTATGAACAAAGCCAAAATTTACTGAGCTCATATGAAGCAGAGGCTTCTGGCATTACTTTTTTTAAGAGTGATCATGAGGACTCCAGTTAATGCTGGCAGCCTTTTCAGCAATCAGTGAATTGATAATTCCCATGAGAAGACATAACTATGAGTAAGCTAATTTTCAGTCTACAGAGACTACATATAGGTTGATTTTTTTCTGCCTGAGTAGCCATTTGACAGGTTCTGAAATGGGAGCTGTGTACTGCTGAAGCTGAGAATATATGTCCCTGAGAAAACATGTAAGTGGCAGTAGGAATATGAGAAAATTGAAAATAAACTTTGTCATTGAGAAGCAAAAATACCCCAGTTAAACTACTCAAATACTCAAAAATAATGCTGAAAATACCATATATTTTGTAATTGCCTGATTTTACCAGGAGATGTGTAACCTACTGCGTATCAGAAACCATTCAACATCTATAGCTACGCTATGAATCTGTTGAATTTTATATCATTTAGTGGGATATGGCTGTTTTCTGTTTATTTGTCCTTATGAAGGTATAAATAGAAGCATTTCCAATAATCAAAAAAATAAAACCCACTAGACATCTGTGTGGGGCAGAACAAAAAGCAGAAAGTAAGCACTGTGTTCTGTGGTTCTTTGAAAATATGCCTTAAATGCATCCAACTGTACAAATTAGAGAGGCAGAGCATGAAAATTTTCATCACTGATGTTTTCTTTGGATTTAAAAATGGAAGGCACAGAGGCTTTATCTATCTTCAGTCATCATTCTTACACATTTACTCCCAAGTGAGATCTGCTTCCATAAAAGTAAATTATCAGTATCTTTTTTCTCCTGGAGAGCTTTTGAAGGGGAAGAAACTTTGCACAAAATATTGTTTATCGAATTCTGGTAACACCTTCTCTTTTGGTTAAGTGTACACTGCAGCTCCTAGTAAAATGAAAGTGAGTAGTCATATAACTTGCTGCATATTAGAAGGAGAATGAAGTGCTAAGCTTATTTACTCTTCATGTATAGACAAAAATACCTTAATTTAATATGCTCTTGATAAGTTTTAACTATAGCTCACTACATTATTTTAGTTGAAGTTGTGTTCAACTTGTACAAACAGACAGGCAGGGAACACATCTTTACGTCTGTCAACATTCCATATGCTCAGTCCACATTAAAATTACACTGAAAATAACCCTACAAAGAATTTTTATGAACACTCTATGCATATTTACTGTACTTCAAAAGAGAAAATTATATAGCTGAAGAATTATTCCAGATCTTGACAACAATCAGTCTACTGATAGCTGTACTCTACATGCACAAAAGAGATTATGTGGTTTTAGCTTCATATATTTCAAACATTTAGAAAGCTAACCTGGAATAAATTTACACTTTGTAACATGATTTCTGCATTTTGTGTATGTTCATCCCTCACTGTGCATCCAACTGAAAATAGAAGGATCCTGTAATTTGGTTCTGTCCTTTACATTTAGCCTGGCAAAAAAAGTCTTGCTCAAGATTATTTTGATTAAGATTATTTAATGACTGGAATTGGTTTCAGTACAGGTTGGGAAATAACAAGTATTTCTTTCATAAGAAGACAGAAAATAATCTCTTGGTAACTCCAGAATATATTTTATTGGCTGTTCAGCATTGAGGACCAGGAATAATAGCCTTCAACTCCTCATCCACATTTCTGATTATTAAATTTTAAACAGTCTGACAGTGTAAGACATAAAGAATTAATATAATTCTCTATCACTGCTGCAAAATCTCAGATTTTTCTTCCTCTGTTGTATTCATCCAAATTAGAAATGGAAAGATTTTTTTCTAGCGGGGAATGATGCTGCCCACTCTCAGATTTTGAATTATGTGATATCAAGTACTTCTGAAGGTGAATAAATGCTGCTCACTTTTGCCATCGCACTACTTTTCAAAACCAGCATGTTTTGCAGCCATGAATATCAAAACATTTATTAATCTGTGCTGTTATCTTAAGAGATTAATGAAGCTATTATTATCTTATTATTAAATGAGGTATTACTATCTTATTATTAAATGAGGTAGTTCACGCTTCCCACACCCTTTCAAACAAAACCTCATAGTGTAACCTGCACCCAGAAGTGTCTATTTGGAAACCATTATTTGGCAGATAAGTCTGGCATGTTACCAAACTAAATCAAGCTTCTCTTTTTCAGATAAGGTCTTTAAAAAGAAAGTGCAGGAGCCAATGGCCATAAAACAACACTACATTATAAATTATGGAATATTTTGATTGAATGTAGAACATCAAATTGCGATGTGTAGATGACAAAGACTATATTTATGAACATCTTGCACATTAATAAGAAACCTGTGCACAGTAATCAATCATACATATTTAAGATTGCTAGTTCACCTCACAGATTTTGCATGTGTGAGCTGTCACTCACTCTTCAACCCATTCATTCTCACACTTCCTCTATAAGGAGTAGTATTTGAGCATATAGTATTGAGTATATACTGTATGTAAAATTATGTCAATACATCCAACACTATGTGTTATTAGTGATAAATAATTACATATCCAAACAGAAGAGTGGCTAACATGTCTCTATAAAGCAAGGGCAGAAGTTAGTTACTTTTTATACAGATCTGGAGTCAGTGATTTTGGCAGACAGATTTGATCACACTCTTTTTTGTTTCTTAGAAGGAACTTGAGAAATTGCTTCTGTGTTTCTCTAATTGAATCTGATAAAAAGGACTTTAAGATAAAATAATATTACACTGGATTAGTATTTCACACATATGCAGTGACTTGCAGTTCATTCTTGAACCAGTAGTAAGGGATAGCAGTGTCTTCCCTTGACTAGTTGTGGCATCCTCTCTTAATTCCCCATAACTTATGTGACTCCCTGTCAGGTGGATTCTACAATATGTCTTAATAGAGGCATCCACTGTGAGAACTCATTGTTCTTTTTATGGTACCCACTGTGGTGTTGGTACAGTTTCTCCTTGCAAACTTTGCTTGTGGGTGTCTGCAGCTGTGTGCAGCTGTCTCCTTCCTTACCAGTTCTGTCTACATGGAGGCATTAGACATCTCACAGGCTTTCTCCATAGAAAGACTAGTTTTAACTCTGGGTCAAGTAGCCACCATAATGGAAGAGATGTAGAGCACTTCCCTGCAATGTGAACCTACGTGCAGGGTGTAAGGCCTTCCCCACACATCCTCCCTTGCAAACTGCCATGCCAAGCCCTGGCTGGTGTACCACACTGTTTGCCCACTCTGCTGGTGGTGCTCCTGGGTCTGGCACTCCTTTGGGACATTTAAATGTGCTGCACTTGTTCACAAAGAGTTGCTGGCTTGTGGTGGGGTCTCCACCTTTGGTCATGTTTCCCTGGCTTCCCCTGCTCTGTAACCCTCAATCTTGCACTAAACCACAGAATTTAGCACAGCCACTGCTGCATGCCCTGCTGTGAGAGCCTGGAAGGATTGCTGGGTCTGTACATTGTTTTTTGTATGTGTGGTAGAAGGGACAGGTCAGGCCTTGCTCTGGTGAGGCAAAGCTCTGCAGGCCTTGCTCTGGTGAGGCAAAGCTCTGTTCTGCCCACCCCGTTCCCGGCCTGTATCCCACCCTGCAGTGGC